GTACTGTTAGCCACATAGTACTGTTAGCAGCATGGTACTGTTAGCAGCATGGTCCTGTTAGCAGCATGGTCCTGTTAGCAGCATGGTACTGTTAGCCACATAGTACTGTTAGCCACATAGTACTGTTAGCCACATAGTACTGTTAGCAGCATGGTCCTGTTAGCAGCATGGTCCTGTTAGCAGCATGGTACTGTTAGCAGTGTGGTCCTACAAGCAGCATGGTACTGTTAGCAGCATGGTACTGTTAGCGGCATAGTACTGTTAGCAGCATGGTCCTGTTAGCAGCATGGTCCTGTTAGCAGCATGGTCCTGCTAGCAGTGTGGTCCTACCAGCAGTGCAGTCCTGTTAGCAGCGTGGTACTGTTAGCAGCGTGGTACTGTTAGCAGCATGGTACTGTTAGCCACATAGTACTGTTAGCAGCATGGTACTGTTAGCAGCATGGTCCTGTTAGCAACGTGGTCTTGTTAGCAGCATGGTCCTGTTAGCAGCATGGTCCTGTTAGCAGCATGGTCCTGTTAGCAGCATGGTCCTGTTAGCAGCATGGTCCTGTTAGCAACGTGGTCTTGTTAGCAGCATGGTCCTGTTAGCAGCATGGTTTTGTTAGCAGCATGGTCCTGTTAGCAGCATGGTCCTGTTAGCAACGTGGTCTTGTTAGCAGTTTGGTTCCATCAGCCACATGGCCTGAGCTCAGGCAACACATTTTTTCATGTTCGTGTCAAATGTTTCATAACAGTTCATGAAGAAAGTTCAATAAATTTTACATCACCAATTCATGTAATATTATTATTTACATGGAATTCTTTGATTATTTGCAAGTACAAAAACAATCACTGCTCTTTCAGCTTGAACGTTATGATGTGTCTGCTGGAATAACGGTGACATGTGGCCACTTCCAGTTAGTTTCTTCTATTTTAAAACCACTCCGGTCCTAAATGTCTGAGTGATTTGTACAAGCTGTTATTATTTAAACTTGTTTATTCTTGTCACTTTTAAATTCCATGGTTATTTCTGCAGAAAGATTAAATTCCTGACAGAATTAACCCAGGCTGCATCAGAAGATCTGCAGCCAACTGTTGCCATTTAAAAGCATTTTACATCTGTCAAGGTGTCAATTCTTCATAATTTTTGCAATTATGCCCACCTCAAAAAAGCCATAATATCCTTTTAATATACTGATTAGAGTGAACCAGCCTTTCAAACGGTGAAACTTTTAAGATTTATTTCCATCTTTATGCATCAGTCAGATACATTTGCTTTTAGTTTGATACTTCAGCTTTAACGCAGCATGTGTTAACAGGCTTCAGGAAGTGTCAAATGTAGCCATGATGCAGGTGTCCACCCTGCAGACCAGACAGAGGTCTAACAATATTGAAGTAGAGGCTTTAAGAAGACAGATTCTGGACTACCAGGTAAATATAGCTATTGATTTTTTTTTATTGTCGTTTTGATAAGAATTTGCCAAATCAGAAACTTTCTCATGTTTTTCATTAGTTCCTATTTACTTTTGATGACAGTGATGGTAGATTATAATTTGTTTATTGCAAAAACATTACATTTATAAATTCAGATGTGCTCTGTTGACCAAAATATGGAAAATTTTATATATAATGAATAGTTTTTGTGTTCTGAAAATCTTGTTTTTCCACTAATGCACAAGGTCAACAATTGTTTCTGCCTTGACTGCCAGGAAATTGTCAGATGCGCGTCTTTGTTTTTACTTCTCAATATTACGCATCAGATTTTTTAATTGTCTTATTTTTCTGTCTTAAAATAAAATGTCGGAGTGCATCTAAACACTTAGTTACAGTTACTTTGTCTAATAGTGATAGCCAAAACTTCTCAATGTTGGTTCAGAATAATTTGCCACGGACGTCACAATGAAAAATTCTTAATCCAATACAACATGAAGAACTAAAACGAGACCACTTTACAATAAGGCTCCTCTAATAAATAGTTTATAGATATGTTATTAATTCCTCTATAAATGGTTTATAAATCATTAATAACTGTTTATTAAGCATTAATTAAGGATGACAGAGAGACAGAACTGACCAGTTTCTTGCCAAATAGTGAGCCAATTCACCCATATATTTCATCTAGAGTTACGTATATTAAACATTTCAGACTAAGTTACTACCTTGTGAGCACAATAAGCATTCGTAAACCTCATTTTTTTAGCATATAATGTTGTAGATACTTATAATGCAGTGATAAAGTACAATATTCTATCCTAAAAAAAATAGGTTTACAAATGCTTATTGTGCTTACAAGGTAGTAACGTAGTCTGAAATGTTTAATTTAACCACTCTAGATGAATTTATTTTATTTTTATTTATTTTATTAACCTTTATTTAACCAAGCAAATCCCACAGATCTCTTTTGCAAGGGAGGCCTGGGCCTGAAGGCAGCCTAACATGCACGTTTTTTGGTGTGTGGGAAGAAAATGAAGTACCCGGAGAAAACGCACGCAAGCACGAGAAGAGCATGCAAACTCCACACAGAAAAACCCCAGGTCCAACCAGGGATTGAACCCAGGACCTTCTTGCGGTGAGGCAACAGTGCTAACCACTGAGCTGTTGTGCTGCCATGAAATATATAGGTGGCAGATTTGGCGAGAAACTGGTCAGTTTTGTCTCTCTGTTACCCTTAATTAATGCATAATAAATGGTTATTAATGATTTATACAGTGTTTATAGAGGACTTAATAACATATCTATAAACTATTTATTAGACATCTATAAGGGGAGCCTTATTGTAAAGTGGCACCAAAAAAAACATTATTTTATTATTGTGAAAAAGACAAAAATAATTTATATCTCCAAAGTACATTTTCTTGAGGACTACTGGAGGCAAACCGTAGTTACATCACTCGTGGCTGTAGCCGCAACATGAGCCGTAGTTTTTAACTAAGTCGGGGTAGTCTGAGGCAGGACAGTAGAGTTAAAACCTAAAGAAGGTTGTTTTATACCAGCCAGTTGTACTTCAATGGACTTCTGGATGTTGTTCTCTCAGTCACAGTCAGATGAGAAGACCCTCATTGCGAAGCTCCACCAGCACATCATGGCCCTACAGCTCAGTGAGTCACTGGCTCTGGGAAAGCTGGAGGTTGCCACCACTCTCATCCAGCAGCTGGAGGCCTTTAAGCTGCGAGCTGAGCAGAAGTTGGACGCCAGCGAGCGCGAGCTGTTTTTCGCCCGCCAGGAGGGTCGAAATCGCTCCACGCACCTTAGCCAGACCATCCAGTCACTCTGTAGGCAATTTGCTGGAGCGCTGCCGCTCCGCCAGCAGGAGAAGTTCTCTGTGACCATGCTGAAACTCGAGGAAGACAAGGCAAAGGTTCAGGAGGAGAGGAGGAAGGCTGAGGAGGAGAGGCAGAGGGCAGAAGGAAGGGCTGAGGAGCTGAAGCTGAGGCTACAGGGGCTGGAAGAGCTCATCGCAACACTAAAAAATAATAGAGGGGCTCAAAAGGTCAGTTGGTAATAATCATGATGTCTGTAAATTTTCTGGTCTTGTGATGTACTTCCTATTCACAAAACTGAACGTGACACAGATAACGGAGTGGCACAAGAGGCTGGAGGAGGCTCACCTTCAGGAGCTGAGGAAAGGCAGGGAGCTGATGGTCCAAAAAGAGGAGATCACGTACCTTAAGAGACTTCTGGAAGAGCAGGACCGGACCATCCACTCACTGGAAGAGGATATCTCACAGCGGAACACTGTGAGTAACGTCTCAGAGTAGTAATGTGTGCAAAAACAATTTGTGGCATAATTAATTTATAAAATTCGGAGATTATATGGTCAATAAGATCGCTCATATTTTTAGAGCTCAACATGTTTGAATCCACACCAAGATTCAACAATTTGCCATACTTGTTCAGTTTTTTTTTTTTTTTCTAACTGCCCTGTCCTAAAGTTTAATCTTTAACCTGCTGCCTGAGACCTGTAGTCTGAGAAGCTTTTAGGTTTTCCTGAGCAGTGAATGGTCTGACCTTGGTCGACCTTCAACGCCTTCAAGAAGTCCTAAGATTTCAGCACATATCAAGAAGCAGTATACGTTTAGAAATTTACTTGTTTATTTTAAATAAATATTTTCACAGTTTTTGTTATTTTTGCTAATTTCTTAATTCATGAAAATAAAGTTATCCAGATTATTTAAAATTTTTGTCTCATGGCAGAAAGAGAAAGAGCGCCCATTGGTCAGGACTTCACTGTTGTGAGAGAAGGCTGAGCTTAGTCAGAGTCTCCAGGATGAATTTGTTTAATAACTGACAGGAAGATCAACCAATCAGAACGCTGATATAGAGTGGGTAGGACCAAAACGCAGAACTCAGGACTTTCTTTTTTGACCACTTGTAATGCTTTCAGTTGCAACTTGTAATATTTAAAAAAATCCACACAGAAATTATAGATTTGCCAACAAATGATGGTTAACTATCAAATTTAGGTTTACACTGATAATTTTCAAAATTAAAGTTTTTTGGTTTTATTAAATTATGAAATTTCTCGGAAACACTAAGTTCTGTGGGTAACTATTAAATTTCAGAGGAATTGGGATTATTGAAATTCAGTGGTGAGCACCGTTCCACTAATCTGCTAATAGCAGAACTAACTTTCCACTTAGCATCTATCTAAAAAAGTTAAATCTGGTCCTCTGGACATTCAAAAAAACCCAAAACAACATTCTACATTTTTTGTTGTTTTGCTTTGTTTTGTTTTTTTTTTGAATGTCCAGAGGACCAGATTTAACTTTTTTAGATTTCTCTACCTGGATTATTGAGCATGCATCAGGATTTCCACTTAGCAGATTAGTATTTTCACTAATTTTGAATACTTTTAACAGAAATAGCATCTGCTAAATTTAAATCTGGTAAACTCAAGTCCACTATTTTTTTTAACAGTTCTCCGTACTAAAAGTATATAGGATAATGTGATTTACACATAGTGCAGTGCAAGGACCAATGACAGAAAAAAAATACTTTTTAACATCACCGAAGAATGTCATTTGGGCCGGTAGAAATTTTCCTTTTATCAAACAAAGAAGAAACGTCACATAAAATGACTTGATCAAATGCAGTCATGGAATAAGAGTGAAGAGCCAGAATTATGGCACAATGATGGACAAATGGTTCCTCTGACATTATTGACTTTCATCAGAAAAAAGTTAAAGTCGTTACTGTCAGCTTTGGAGGACACTGGGAAGTAAAGTCCAGATTATTTTTTTTATGTTCTGATACATAAGACAAATTATTCAAAAAGGTTGGGCTTTCTGTTTTTGACATGACAGTAAGTCAAGGGGTCTGAGAAATGTATTTTCTTGTCTGCATTAAGCTTCGAGAAGAATGTCAGCTTGCATGGGACCAACAAAAAGTAGAGCTGGAGAGTCAGCTGGACCACCACGAGAAGCAGCAAAATGAGGCTGTTAGCAAAGCAGAAAAGGTAAAACATTGCTTTCTTTCTTTTTATGGATCAACTTGATCAGAATTTAGATCTGTTTTACACCAAAACAGTCTGAACTGCCAGCTATAAGTCTGTCTGAAACCTGTTCACTATATTTTGAACTTTTTTTTTTCAGTTTGTTGAATGTGCAGGATCACTCCCAGACCCATCACTTCCTCTTGCTCATCAGTTAGAGTTTGCTTTTGGTAAAACTAGGGAGCACGTTTGCACCATCGTGGACCTTCAAGCCACGTGCAACAGTTTGGAGAAGGCACAGTATTTCAGTCGCTTTTCATAGAATCAACACTACTTTTAGGCTAAATGCATAACAGCACTTGCAGTGTTAATGTTTAATCGTTTTTTATTGACAGAAGTTGAAAGAGAAGGAAGAAGCGTTGTGGAAAGCACAGCAGAACATCACATCCAGGGATAAGGTGATCAATGAGCTGCGGCTCCGGCTCCCAGCTGCTGCTAACAGGGAACGCTTGCTTGCAGACCTTTCTGAGCACAAAGACGACCGGTCGGACGGTCAGTCTGCCCTCAAGCTGGCCCATCAAACCATCAAAGACCTCCAAGCTCGAATCGACAAAAAAGAAGATGTTATAAAGAAATATCAAAACCAGATGGCCCAGACTAGACAGGTGCAGTGATGCTGTTTTAAACATTTCTGTTTGATCGTTATTTAGCTGTAGCTTCATGTACAGCTGGGGGTAAACAGTCAAGCTATAACGAAATGCTTTTTTTGTTTACTTACACACGCACACACATTATCATTACAAAAAGATAAAATTGAAAAAGTCAATAACTTGGTATCCTGTACCGTCCCAATCACGTGAGTAATATTAAAGTTGACAATCGTTGAAAAATCGCGAAAGCCGAACCGCCAAGTATTGAGGGACTACTGTACATTGTCTTTTTCCTATTTAAAGTAAACTGTCAAGTTTTATAATTTCTAAAACGAAAAGATAACTTTTTGTTAGAAAAATCGTCCAAAAAAAAGCACCGCAATCTTCCAAACTCTCGCCGAGCCTGTGATCCACGGGTGGAGGGGAAGTTGACACCTCACACATGTAATCACACGTCACACAAACCTCTGTGCGTTTGTGTGACGTCTAAGTCCTGTGCACTGTGCCCACTCTGTGGAAAACATCACTCAGAACAACTGAAATCAGCTGTTCAATAACTGAAATCATTCATTTCTTGACTCTATTTTCCGTGCTTGGGAGCTTGGCGTAAGGCGAACCTGTGGCCTTCTTGCTGTGATGCAACAGCTCAAATAACTGTGCCAGCCTGTAATTACTGTAATCAAATTATTTTTTTATTTTTTATTTTTAAGTCAAGTTGTGGCATTCCTAAACGCTGCTCTCTGCTCAGCGTGGAATAAACATGAACGCCGACACTGAAGGAGCCACCGCCTGAATCTTTAATCTCCAATAATTTTAAGAACAAACACAGATTCTTGTTATTAATTTACTCATTTGTTTATTTGTTTCCCCCTCATCAGAAAATGTGATGCTAGAGTTTTTCTCTGACGTTGCGGACACGAATGCTGCGGCTGGAAAAATGAACTTTTTCCTCGATATTTCGGCCATCTTGAACTTGGATACACACCCTCCCTGCAAAGGGAACACAATATCCACTACATTTATTTGAAGAGGGATGTACCGTAATGACCTGCAGTAGATCGCTTTCTTTACTCCTTTCCTGTTGTGGTAGTTGGCAAAAACAAAACAAAATAAAAGCACGAGCATCCTTGGAGAAAGGAGAGATGAGTGACTGGTTGTGTCCAACGCAGTCGTTAAATGCTCATGTGTGCTTTTCTGAGACTTTTGTATTTTGACAATTTGGTGCAAATTCATGTGAGGTTACACCCACAAGCAAAAACAACTTGTTACTGAAAATGAACAGTGAGTGTCACTCCTACTGTTAGAACTTTATAAATCAAGAATTAGGCAGTAGTGAAAAGAGAGTACTTCAGTAAAAGTCAAGACGTTTACATTTTCGATTGATGTATTTTAATTTTTTTTTACAGTCTACTTGTTTCTATACTCCTCTGTGATTAGGATCAAGAGGAAACGATAAAGAGACATCAGGAAGAATTGAGAATGCTGCATGAGAAGTTGGACATTTACACAGACACCTCACTGGATCGCTTCAGACAGACAGCAATGGTAAAAAAAAAAAAAAAGTCACATTTTCTGGGCTGAATTTTATAACAAAACCAGAACAAAAAGGGTCTTAAATGTCAAATTATCTTGTAGGGATGCACGATATTATCTGCATGGTATCGGTATCGGCTGATGTTAGCGATAAAGTTAAATATCGGACATCGGCCATTCCATCAAAATAACTCACCGATATAAAAGGCTCTGTTTATTTATATATATATATATATATATATATATATATATATATATATGGCAATGTTTTTGTATGACAACCCACAATGTTATGACGTCACGCTTGCCTACCTGATCTCATCACGGCGGGAGAGGAAGAAGTGAAAATGTCGGCGGTGTGCAAGTTTTTTAAAGTGTCGGAAACTGATATCAGATTCAGAACTGCTATGTGCAATAACTGATCAGCGTCAGTGATGCGAGGAGGAGCGAAAACAAAGTCCTACAACATTTAGAACCTAATTGACCATCTCGAGAAATGTTGGAGAGAGTAAATGTCACGAATAAGTTTGACATTTAACATAATACAAGTTGAAGTGTTGCATCATCTTCAGCCCCCTTTTTGGCATCTGCATTTGGTGGCAGGCCAAACTGACAAAGACCATGAGGAATAATGTATTTTAATTCCACAGCAGAGAAAGCTGTGTAGTAAGTAGGTCTAGGGGAAAATTATCGGTATTGATATCGGTTATCGGCCAAATCAGTTTTAACACATTAGCATATAGGATTATCCCTATTATCTTGTATTTTTCATATCGTGGTAGAGAATTGTTTAAGCTCTGATTAAATGTTCAGTTCATGCTTTTATTAAATTAATGTGTTTGTTTGATCAGTGTTGACAGTCGTGTGTAATATCGCCTCTTTCCTGTTTTCAGCAACTGATGAAGAAGTCCACCATCAGAGTGCCAACGCCCAAGCACCTGGTGCGTCTGGCTGAGCTGGAGCAGACCGTGGCCGAGCAGGACGATTCCCTTAGCTCCATGACGGAGAAGCTGAAGCTGACCACCTCTGAGCTGCAGCGGCAGCAACGCGTCGTGGAAACACAGGCTAAGAAACACACGGACCAGATAAAACAGTGATTAAGCTTTTTAGTTGTGTGTGTGACAATGGTAGATTGTGAAATTTGTATTTAAGCACGCCTACGAAAGTAAAATAAAATAAAAAAAAAGTTTAAAGAGAAGATTTATGTGTTTGCTAGCTTTTCAAAATAACTTAAATGAACACATTATATTACCTTGGGTTAACTTTGAGATCAGCATTAACCCAAATGGCAAGTATCGATTTATTGCTTTCGTAATCTTTGAAAAGTGAACTAACCTGTGCAGGTTCTGTGTGACTGCTCTGTTGGACCTGTAAAGTAGAGGGAGCTTTAAAGGGATTTCATAGTTTCATTGACTGTTGGATCTGTGCGGTGTAAATTCAGTCGTCTGTATCGAGCCGTGAGGCGACAACCACGTGCAACCCAGGCATTAACGTCTCTCTGCCGCTCTGTCTATAAGCCTCCTGTTTAGAAGCACAACAGTCCATTCTAACCCGCCTAATCCTCCTCCATCCTTCACACGATGCCATGGATTTAAAAACGTTTATGACTTTAGAAGTTTTATTATGAATATACAGTAGTCCCTCGATTATCACGGGGGTTACGTTACAGGCGTCGGTGTGAAAAGCTGCGACGTTGGAACGCTAATCCAACAATGTTCAGTCAGGTCATGTGGACAGTTTCTTTTTTTGTTGAGCGATGTTTCACCCTCCATCCAAAGGGCTTCATCAATCTGTGGAGTCACAAACAAACTGTTTTCCCCACTAAGAAGTACACTCCTACAGTGGACCAACCAGTTTGTTGGCGATAAGATGGTTTCTGGGGGCCGTCCTCTCCCCCGTCGACTCCTCCCAGGCTGCTGTGGCTGCCAGCAAACTGGTTGGTCCACTATAGGAGTGTACGGCTTGGTGGGGAAACAGTTTGTTTGTGACTCCTCAGATTGATGTAGCCCTTCGGATGAAGGGTGAAACGTTTCTCAACAAAAAAAGAAACTGTCCAGATAACGTGACTGAACATTGTTGGATTTTTTTACCTGGATTACTGAGCATGAACTTTGATATATCCAACAATGTTCTGTCAGGTCATCTGGACGGTTTCTTTTTTCTTTTTCTTTTTTTGCTGAAACATTTCGTCCTTCATCCAGAGGACTTCTTCAATCTGAGGAGCCACCAAACAAGCTGAGTCCCACAAACAGCACACTCCTATAGTGGAAAAAATTTGTTTGCCGTCCTCTCCCCCATCAACTCCTCTGAGGCAGTGATGACAAAGTGGTTCAAAACACCTTGGTGGCTCTGTTCAGTGCCCTGAGAGGACATCTGTTGTGATGTGGCGCTATATAAATAAACTGAATTTAATTGAATTGGCTCTTGAGATTGAAGACGTCCTTTGGATGAAGGATGAAACGCCTCAGCAAAAAAAAAAAAAAACGTCCAGAAGATCTGACCGAATGTTGTTGGATTTTTACCTGGATTATTGAGCATGAACTTTAGTGAACATACTTATGTATGTACTGTACATTACTGCAAAATTGTACTCACCAGCTCTGCAGGCCAGCAGCTCGATTCCAGTTGGGCACACTGTTGGCTTCTGGGTAGTGTAGTTCTTTTGACTTGTGTTACAGTGAGGGGCTTATTAAAAAAAAAAAAGAAAAAACTACAAAATGGTGGTGCTTGTCCAAAGTTTTTTTTTTTGTTAACTTTTTATCTCGTACCATCCCAATCACGTGGGTAATATTAAAGTGGACAGTCGTGTACAATCTTACTTTGAAAAACTGCGAAAGTCGAACCACGAAGTAGTGAGAGACTACCGTATAAACGTTTTAGACCCATAGAACCTTAACAAGAAGTGATTAGTGGCGCCGAGGTCGGAGAGGGTAAATACTTATTTGCTGCTTTCTGTCTTAAAGGATTAGGTTATGTTTTTCACTCGGCGTACGTGTCACTGCTCTGATAGAGTAAATGAACAAGTCAATACTGTTGGACTTAAAAGAAAGAAGGATTATCTGGTAACCAAACAGTTACTTAGGGTAAATTAAAGGAGACTAGGGTTTAACGGTTTAGAAGTAAATCCGATTAAAGAGGGTTTTTAAAAAGTTCAATAGTGCAGCGGGTGGTTCAATAGTGCACGGGGTGATAGACATGTCAATCATGGCAGAGTGCACCCAAATGTATGGATGTTTTATTATTTTGAAAATGCACCACCAGTGACAACTACAACCTTTATCTTTCTAAATTTACCATCCTTATGACTTTTAGTAGAACTAAAGGTAAAAAGCCACATTAAAAAATAATAACCATGTCTGCACAAAGGAGCCTACAGAATAAACCCAAATTCAAGAAACATTACTTTGCTTGGCAAAGCTGAAATGATTTAACACAAGTTGTGACTCTCTAAACAGTCGTAAATCAGGAGTTTTCCTGTCTAAATATGTTTTTCTTGTTTTGGATGAACTGACTGTTGTAAAACTGACAGAGGATTTTTTTTTTTGCAGGCTGGAGGAACATTCTGCTGCCCAGGTTAAAGCTCTGAGCGGTGAGATCGAGGAGCAGAGGAGCCACATAGCTCAGATGGAGAAAGAGATGAACCACCTTCTCACAGAGCTGGATGCCCAGAAGGAGGCCAACGTCCGCTCCCCGAGCAACACCATGAAGAACCTGATGGAGCGACTAAAAGCAGAACTCACCCAAAAAGAGAAAAAGCTAAAGGTTGTGCACAGCTGACAGATCATTGCTCAGCTTTAAATAAATCCTCTTTAATAAAAGTGTTTTAATTGTGTGAATGTTTATGAAGCATTCACACTATTGAGATCCATTTTTCTTCCGTACGTTTTCGGCGTCTTTCTCGTTCCACAATTTTTGTGTTATTTCAACAAATCATAAATCAAAACATTCAGCTTATTCAGGATAATCCTTCTATGACTTTTGGTATTAGTGCAACTTTAGCTTTTTGAAATATTTAGCCTTTTCTGACTTTTTTTTTCCTCCTAGAAAATGAATTGAGCTCATTTTTTCTCTTAATGCTCCTTTCACATTTTGTTTTGGTTCAGCTTCTTTCAGCTTCCTTGTGCAAATTTAAACATTTTTTCAGCTACTTTCAGCTATTTTCAGCTGAGTTTTTTTTTCAGCTTTTGAGCTCCTTTCAGCTTCTTTCTGCTAACTACAGCATTTTTTTTGTTCTTTTCTAACTTTCTTTCTGCTAATTTCAACTTGTTATGCTCCTTTCAGCTCATTTCTGTAGTTTCAGCTTTTTCTGCTCTTTCAGCTACTATTTAGCTCTTTCGATGCTAATTTTAGCTTTTCAGCTACTACCACATTTTATGGTCTCATTTAAGTTCTTTCCACTTCCTTCTGGTAGTTTAAGCTTCTTCCTGCTTTTTCAGCTGCTTTTCAGACTTTTTTTTGTTGCTAATTTCAGCAGGTTTTTTTTTTATTATTATTATTTTGTTTGGGTGGGTTTTTTTTGTTGCTAATTTTTTTTTTTTTTTTGTGCTCATTTCTTATTTACAGTAGTCCCTCATCTATACCCTGAAGACCCACGATAAGTGAAAAACCACCAAGTAGGAATAGTAATCAAAGTAGTTTTAGTTAATTTTATTACTCTAAAGCTCTAAAAGAGCACAGAATGTCATGATTTCAGCTCCCTGCCTCCTCTGCTCTTTGCCACCGGCTGCAAGCGCTCTTGGCCACGCCCACTCTGCACGGTGAACAGCTGATCAGCTGCAGCAGGAAGTTTATCCTGCAGTATGGGCTGCACAAAGGTGCATCAGGTGCTAAATAATTTAAAATAATTTATTTTAAATAAAAATTCCATGCCGATAGTGCGGCTCAGCCATCAATCAGCCAATTGTGTGTCATTTCCACCCTTATTTTGAAAAACCACGATAGCGCGAGTCCACGATAAACGAACAGCGAAGTATCGAGGGACTACTGTAAATGTAATTCATCAAATTTGTGTTCTTTCTGCATTATTTTGCTAATTTAGCCTTGTTCTTTCATTTCAGCTACATTTCAGCATGTTTTGAGCTAATTTCAGCTGTTTTTCAGCAAGCTCATTCACGCTGCATTTTATAGTTTCATTTGAATTTCATTCCACATTTCAGCAATAAAAAAAAATCTGTTTCAAGAATTCATCATATGAAAGAATCAATTCATCATGAGGTGACAGCCAGTATTTAGTCACATGTCAGGACTCCAGTCTGTACAAAAAAAGAAAGAACAGTTAATGTGACAGGACAGTAAATCCAGAAATCACTCAACTGGTCGAATGCATCGCAGCTAGCTTGTCTTTTGTGTTTTTCAGGCTCTCAGCAAGGCTCTGTTGGCTCTACGGGCGGAGATGACAGCTGCAGCAGAGCAGCAGGTCATAGCGCATGCTGCCCAAAAGGAAGAGAGCCTCAATGTACAAATGCTTGTTGACAGACACACCAAACACCTGAAGGTAAGATGACTTATCACAACATACCTGCTGGTCCTCGGTGTGCCATGTTTCATTCACTGTTGAGGTAAAGAATCATCTTGAAGAAAGCTTTGTAGGTGGGTTTAGATTACACAACCTGGTGTATAGAAAATAATTTCCACAAAGCAGCTGATGTTTAATTAACTGTACCTCTTCGTTTAAGCCCCCTTACAAATAATCGCCCAATACGTTTTAATTCACGTCCACTGCATTTTCAGAAAAGCCCGTTCACAAAAAGTATAATGTGAAGCGTGATCAGCAATACTTTTCTGTGACATGAACATGAGGACGTTTTCCTTTCTGAACTGGACAACAAGCTACATTCGAAGTTTCTGGTTCGTTTCCTGTTTGTGGACACGTGTCTGACTTCAGTGGGCTCTAATTTCTTTCATTTGTCGTCATCATCCGTTCATCTCTGGAGGCTCATCTACATTTCAGCAATTAAAGAAAATCAGTTTAAAGAATTCATAATGTGAAAGAATCAATTCATCATAAGGTGACAGCCACTATTTAGTCACATCTATGATCTCGAGAGGGTTGTATTGACTGAAAATAAACATGTCGTTTGTGGTATGGAGGAGAGGAAAAGCCCAAATTTAATTTACTCTCTTCATGTATTAAAAATAAACTTTTACTGCTGGTAATAAATCCATAAACATAAAAATATCTAATAAAAAATAAATACAGTACATTCATTCAACTTTCATGTTTACATTTCTTGCAGTGTTCCCATGCAGTCTTTAAAAGTAGGACATTTTCATTAAATATTTTCAAGTTTAAATAAGTTTAGAAAAAATAAAATTAAAGTATGAAGAAAAAAACCTGTCTTTCCAGATTGATTCATCAGTTTTTCCACAACAGGTTGAACAACTGGGAGATAAAGTTGGAGAGTCCAGCCTGAGATGGTTTGGACATGTCCAGAGGAGGGACAGTGGTTTGGACATGTCCAGAGGCGGGACAGTGGTTTGGACGTGTCCAGAGGAGGGACAGTGGTTTGGACAT